ACCCTTTTAGCTCAGTAATGAAGTCACTCCTGAGGCTCACCCTTTAGTCAAGAATTAGACAGGTCCATAAAACAAAACGAGATTTAAAGAAGCACACCAGCCCAGGGGCAAGGACTAGAAGGCAGGAGGGGACAGGAAAGCTGTTAACAGGGAACTCAAGACAGAGAAGGGAGAGTGTGGACTTGTCATGGGGCTGGTAACCAATGTCACAAAACAATATGTGTACTAAGCTACTTTGTTCTATAAACTTTCATTTAAAGTACAATAATAAGAAAAAAGAAAGAATTAATTGTTTTATTGGTAATTTGCTTACTCTGACATGTTGCTACTTTTCTATTTTCTTTCCCCTATGGGTAGCGTTCTGATTCCATGTGTCCACAATAATCCTTAATTTCAGTTCCCTCTTTGGCACATTTATTTCCTGGGATTTTACAAGGCAAGGTACAATTCATTTTAAATCTCCTTTTATGTGTAAATATAATTTCAGTTAATATGAAATTAATGCTACCAAGTATTTATTCTGTGAGTCAAAAACAACATGAAACTGGTGAACTCTATCACTCCTGCAGCTGACACCCTGCATAAATTAGCAAATGCCTGGAGCAGATGATCAGTCATAAAACCACGATGAGACTCTTGCAACTGAGTTCACACAAGTTCAAACACTACTGCTTACTTAAGCATCTACTTTTGCAAAAAAGATAGTTTGTATATTTAGACGATAACAGTCTTCAAACTTAACTCAAATATATCAGCATTCACTTCTCTGATTTATACTGTCCCAAAATAATTTAACTTTTTTATTTCTATCAACTTAAATCTAAGACCTTCATTTAAAAGTTAATGTAACTGAATATAAAAAAATGATGATTTTTTTTAAATGATACTGGAATATATTCCCATTTTAAAAGTCTGATGAAGACTCAAATTCTCGTCACCACTCCACTAATGACTATCTAAGTGATCCAGAGCCCCGGTTTTTCCATTTCTATAATTCAAAAATACTACTTTTTTTTTTTGCCTAATGGAATAATGTCTACAAAAACCTGAAAGAATACTCAGGCAGTAGTTTAATGAGAAGGAACGTGGCCTTTCAGATCAGAAAGATCTCAATTCAAAACCCCAGTTCCACTCCGGATTGGCTCTGTGCTCTTAAATAAGCCACTTAATCTCACAAAGCCTGTTTCCTCACCTGTAAAACTGGAATGATATGACATGATTAAATAGAACATCTTTCAAAGAGCCTGACCCAAAGATAATTCTAAATAAGTAATTACCCATTAACTAAAATATTTTTCCAGAAAAAGCTGTTAATGACCACAAAAACTATTTAGTCAACATTCTTTTGAGAAGGAAGGTAGCTAAAGATATCGCTTATCCCCTGAGAGGGAATGTAGAAGGTTGAGTCAATCTCCTACCAACTTGCCTTTAACACAGTTATCCTATTTGATAACTGAATCATTTACTTCACAGGTCAAGTATCATTATAATAAATGTCAACAGATGGCCTTTTAAAGTCTTTTGTTACAGTGACTTCTTAAGCAAACCACACTCTCAACTAGGGTTTAAAATTCTTGCAGCCTTATGAAAATTTTCCATTTATGTTTATGATGATTGCGTTTGACCTACATATTACATGTAGCACAATACTCTTTGAGTTGATAAGCTTATTTTCTTTTGATTCCATTATTTTCCATTTAACTCATTCAATCTTGCCATATTTAAGTTAATGTAAAAAAATGTAAGTTTCCTATACAAGATATATTTCAAAGACAGAAAAAGAGTCGTCATTTCATGAAAGGTTTCCTGTTATGCAAAATATAACTATATTCAGATAATGAAAACCAGCCTGAACACCTCACTTATCTGGTGGTCACTGGCCTGGTAACCCTCACTATCCAAACCACAGCCCTAAGCTGGGCACTAAAATCCAGGAACTAAAAGCCTACATACTTTATTTTCAAGATGCCCTTGAGTCCTCACCCACAGTCTATTTACTCATATTGAAGTAAAATTCCAACTTTAAAAGTTTATGACTCCTTGATTAGTTCCTGGTTTGAAGAAATCAGCCATAAAAAACATTTTGGAGACAACTAGGCAAATCATATTATGGACTGGGTTTTAGATGATATTTGGGAATTACTTTCAATTTTATTAGGTTAATAATAATATTGTGCTTGTGCAGTAATATCCTTATTTTCAGAGATGTGTACTGAAGTATTTAGGGGTAAATGTCATGACGTTTGTAATTATTTTTTGTAACTATTTCAGAAAAAAACAGATGAAGTAAATATGGCAAAATGTTAGCAACTGTGCAATCTAAGGTTTGAGAATATTAATGTTTATTATACTACTGCCTCTAACTTTTCTATACGTTTTACATTTTTCATAATAAAAATTTTTTTTTTAATTTTTAATTCCATGACTAAGATTGCCTATCTGATTTCCTAACCCACAGCAGGTCAGAAGCAGCAGAGGGAGAAGAGGGGAGGGGAGCTGCAATGAGGCATGTTGAGAGCTGCAAGGAATGTGAACTGATAGTAAGGGAACAGACATCAAGACTACACTGTATATAAAATGCAGACATAGAACTCATCGGTCTGGCCATTAAGATAGGGGCTATCCATGGCTATCCCTGGAAGCATCTTGGGATTACAAAGCAGTATAGTAATTAACAAGATAATAATTCTCATCTTGCTTTTATTACTAGTTGACTACCTAACCATGATATTTTATCTTAACACAAAAATAACATGACCAAAAAAAAATTTTTAATTACATAATAGCAGAACTCTAACACTACAACTACCAGCATACTCATATAAACTTGGCCGTTATTTCCAAGTGTCTATTTCAAATGAACAATTCTGTATACACTGCTTTTATTATTTGTTTAAACATAAGCATTCCCTGTGTTCCTACTTATCACTTACATGGGAGAAAGGCATGCATAGAATGTAGTTAATGAAGTCCCCCCTTATTACAAGCTAACTAACTTTTCACTTTTACACACAGCACTGTAGAGAACACCATTCTGCATGCAATATACAATTTCCTTCTTTTGGATTATTTATTTGGGACAATGTCCCAGAAGTGAGATTAGTGGGACAAAGGGTATAAACATATTACCAAGCTGCATTCCACTTTATACTCCACCAACAACACAAGCGTATACTCATTTCCTTACAACTTCATGGGCACTGATTAATCTTTTATTTTGGTAATTCGATAGCTGTAAAATAGGACCTAATTTTAAAATGCTAAGTAGAACAATTAACAGAGAAATGGAACATATTTCCATATTCTCCCTCACCAACCACACTGACTTTCTGTGACTTTTCATAAGTCATTTAACCTTCCAGGATTTTTGTTTCTAGGTCTCCAAAATGAGAAGAATAGATCAACCTCACTAGTACTCAGGAAGTGAAAATTAAAAAGAGACCATTTTTCACACATGAGACTGGCAAAGTTTCAAGACTGATAGGTTCAAGTGTTAGTGAAATTATAGGGAACGGGCATTCTCATACATTACAGGGGGGTGTATGCATTTGAAAACTAATCTGACAGTGTCTATTAAAATTGTAAGTGTACATATTTCTTAAGCCAGAAATCTAACTCTTAAGATTATCCTACATAAACAAAGGCAATAGTAAGACAGAATATATTTTTATTGCAAGATGGCCTATAATGAGAAACTAGAAAACCAGAACCACCTGAATGCCTATCGATATGGGAGTGTTTGAATAAATTAGGGCACATCCATACTATGGAATATTAAGCAGCAGTTGGAACTAGTGTAGTGACTTACAAAGATATCCATGATATATTGGTAGGTGAGAAAGCAAGCCTTTAATAATCTTTTTAAAGAAAAAACTATATAATATAAGCATTTGTGTTTATCACTATACAGAAAGGTATGGAAAATATAGCAAACTAATAACGATGATTACTTCAGACGGGAGAAGGGGAAAGTAGTCCCTTCATATTTCTCTATATTATTTGGCTTATTGGTAATTTTTAAATGTCCATAGATAGCAGGGATTTTTTTTTTTTTAAAGTAAGATTGTACTAGATAGCTCTCAAATTCTAAGTAACTCCCAGAGTGTACAATTCTATGAAGCAAAGTTCTCAAAGAGGCCATTGAATCTTTAATGAATGGTTAAATTATGTTCAATACACCACAGGAGTGCGTAATATTTTTTTGGAAGACTTAGAGCAAAAACAGTTAATACATTTAAAAGTTGTGAGTTAGGGGTAAGCCTTAGTAGGAAAAAAAATTAACTTATGTTAAACATCTCCCAAAAAATTCTAGATAAATGAAACATTATATTATCCAAATCACTGAGCTGTGCAAAAAATTCCACCAAGAGTACGTGAGAATGTACACTGAACTCTTCTCCCACTCGCTCCCAGATTCATTCTAGTGACCAGGCAGCAATCACGAAGAAAAGGATTCCTATTCTGTGAGTACTTAAAGAGCAAGAATCTTTTTAATCTCAACTTCCTGCCCCCACGGCCCCCTCCCTCCACAAAAAAAAAAAGAGGAAAAAAGCACTAAAGAGCATTTTAACCAGTCTTTTCACTCAAGGAAAATCTTCTAATAAAGAGGAAAAAGAAAGACATTTTAGGAGGGATAGGCTCATTCTTTCAATTTATACAAACTTAATATTTTAATCAATATGTTACAACTGTTAAAATTTGACCCTAATTGACTGAAATTACTCACACAAACTTAAAAAGGACACTATCAACGCTCTCAGAGAAGTGACAGGATGACAACCCTCTTAAAGGAACAATATCCACAAGTACACCAATCACAGCAGAAAAGCTATCATCCAACTTAGTCACTAGTCACCACAATAAGGTGGAGTTTTTTGTTTAAGTATTTACAGTTACTTTGGAAATTAGCAAGTGAAAAAAAAAAAATGAAACCTCAAACATTGTTCAATTAAATAATTCAAAATCTTCAATTCAGAAAAGAGTCCCGAATTTAAACATACCATGCCTACAGTCTTCATCTGCTTGCCCATAGTTTTTCTGCAAAATAAGAGATACAAGATAAAATTAAGTAGTTCAAGGGCTGCTTTTAACATAGATTTATCAAAAAGAAGCTCAGCTTTGTTTCAAAGTTTAATCGTTAATGTTGCAAATTGAACATTCACAGAGCAAAACTGACTCATGATGCTCTGAGGATTCCAAAGTACTCCACAACTCCACAGCACACAACTACAATCATAGTATAGTACTTCCCTAGTCCATTCACTCAGACTCCTATTTCTCCCCTTCTCTAACTTCAAATCCCCAAAATCTCCTCTCCCATTCTCACTCTCAGTTGATGATTTTATTGAGAAAATTGAAGTTATCAGAAGAGAACTTACATATTCTCACCAACAGCTGGGATGCCTCTGAGCATCCACGCATACATTCTCTGCCTTCCCTGTTACCAAACAAACTACTTCTCTAAAACCAATCTTACCACTTGTGCAGATCCTGCTCTGCCACCTACTCAAGAACATTACTCCAGCAAGCTTCCTCTATTTTCCCATCATTAATTTTTTTTCTTCCTATTGGATCATTTCTAAGAACATAATATGCTGTTATTTCTCCAAATTAAAAAAAAAACAAAAAACAAAAAAAAAACCTTCTCTTGACTTCCTGCCTCCCACCAGCTACCATTCCATTTCTTTGCACCTCTTTGTGGCAAAAGTCCTCAAGAGCATATACTCCTCAAGGTGTCCATATTCGTATCTTCAGTTCGTTTCCTCTGATTCTCTCTTAAACCCTCTGTAATCAGACTCACCTACCATTTCACTGAAACTGCTCTCAGTGCCACTGTGTCCAGGCGGATACACAGTCTATATCTACATGTACCCACTTAAGAGACATAGCTGTGTCTCAGTCAATTCTAAATTCTTATCTATTCACAGCATTTGACACTGTTGAACATTCCCTCATACTATGCTTCTAGGATACCTCACTCTTAGTTTTCCTTCTACCTCACAGGTTGCTCTTCAGGCTGCCTTGCTGGTTCTTCTTCTTCTCCCCAACCTCTTAACACTGTAGTGCCACTAAGTCCTTGGTGCCCTCCTCTTCTCAATCTACACTCATTCCCTTGGTGATTTTACCCAGGCTCAAGACTTTACATATCATCTATATGCCAAAGACTCTAAAATTAGTATCTATAGCCCAGTTCTCTCCCAAACTCCAGACTTGCATATCCAGCTGCTTAATTAACATCTCCACTTGGATATCTAAACGACACCTCAAACTCAGTATGTCAAAAGCTGAACTCCTACCTTCCCCCACAAAACAGGCTCACCATCTACTGCCTTCTCATCTCACTTGGAGAAATATCCATTCTTTCAACTGCTCAAACAAAACTCCTCAAAGGGAGTCATCTGTGACTGTTCTCTATCACTCACTCCCCGCATTCAATCCATCCTGAAATTTCACTGGTTCTACCTTCAAATTATAACTAGAACATAGCCACTTCTCACTATTCCACTGCTACCATTTTGGTCTGAGCCACTGTCATCTCTGGCCTGGATTATTCCAACAATTTCCAAACTAGTCTCCTTGCATCTACCCTTAACCCTTTACAGTATATTCTCAACACAAAAAACAAAATATTCCCATTAAATCAGATCACGTCACTCCTCTGCTCAAAGCCCCACAATAGTTCCCCATCTCATACAGAGTAAAAGGCAAAGTCCTTACAAGGTCCCACAGGATCTAGCCCTCTCCAACTTCCACCAGCTCTCCAACCTCATCTCCTACTACTCTCCCTCTCATGCACTCTACTCTAGCCATGATAGCCTCCTCGACATTCCTCAACCATGACAAACATGCTCCTGCTTCAGAGTCTTTGCACTAACTCTTCCCTCTGCCGGTAATGCTCTTCCTCCAGATTTCCACAGGGCTCTCACTCCTTCACCTCCTTTCATGTCACCTTCTCAGTGCAGCCCACTTTGACCACCCTATCAAAATTGCAACCCTGTCCCTAACCCCAGTACTTCCAATCTCCTTTACTCTCTTCCACCTTTTTTACGCAGTTACTACCTTCTAACAATCTATATTCCGCCTAACAATCTATATTATTTACTTATGTATAGTCTATTGTTTATTGCCTATCCCCCTGAAAGAAAAAGTATCATGAAGGGATACTTCTCTTTCTTTTTCAGTAATATATACCAAATACCTAAACCAGTGTTAAACACATAATATGGACTCAGTAAATATTTGGTGAATGAGTGAAACTCAAAATGCTATATAGCTACTACAACTTTCAAACTGGAAAAACACAGTTGCTTGCCATCAAATATATTTAGCTATCACCAGCCACTTCACTCATCTCCTCAGCCCAGAATTAGCTGATCTACATAGAGAGTGCCAGCAATAGTCCCCACTCAATGAAAAAGGCCATTGTATATGGCTAATCCACAGTGTTTACTCACCAGTTGCAAAAATGAGGCAATTCTGTAAAGAAGACTCTCAATTTTGATGCGTTCTGTCTCCAGTGGACATGGCCCTGTGAAGTCTGCCATGGAGTACTGGCCTAGAGAAAGGAGGGCCTCTGTGCAGTGCTTGAGGGCCATTTCATAGTCCTGCCTTTTAAGTGATTCACACGCTTGTTCACATGACTTCTCAGCTCTTCTGTCTTCCATGACTCAGGGACAAAAATCCTAAAGAGAGGGAGAATGAAAACGAGAAGATTGTAAAAAGTTACTAATTATAAATTCTAGCCCCATTCCTATCTTAGCTGGCTGAATTATCTATTTAGTTACCCTCAAGTAGCCTTTTGATCAAGGTCACAGCTAAACCACAGCTACTGATGCTACAAAATCTCCACTTTTATATATTATGAAGAATTTATCAAGATCCAAGCAAAATGCCAACCATAAGCGAATCATACCAATAACACATCAGATTTATAAATGGGACAAATTTATAAATGAGACATGCCTTTGAATACTGCAAAGACAACAAACCATGAACGTTAATTTTTTTTAACCAGTAGGTGCAGACATGTTTCACATCCAAACCTCTAAATTTCAGTTTCCCTAGTATCTTCTCGCAATTCTGTGACTGTGAGTGTAGAGAACCAAAATCTATACTGTGTATGATTTTCCCCTACCAATTAAAAAAACTGGCCAAAATGAGAATTTGAACTGCCTATCCATTTAATTCAGCAAACATTTCCTGAGGGCCAGGCTCTGAATTCAAAGATGGAACATGTCAACGCGGTTTTCAAGAAACTCAGATTCTAGCAAGAGAGGGAAAGTGCAAGTGAACAATTACAAGAAACTTATTCCATCTGCCTCAAGGGACGAGCTAGCCTTGAAAGGTGAATAGGAGTTCACCACGCAGAGACGGTAGAGCAAACATGAGCTTTTCAGAGAGAACAGCTTAAGCAAAATCAGAGGAGAGAAAGTACATGGCTTAAGCTCGGAGGTGTCAGAGGAATAAAAGGAGCTACGAATGACCTCAAATGCCACAACAAGAAGCAAGGGCTTTACTCTAGGGCAATGAAGCACAACGGAAAGTTTTTAAATAAAGAAGGACCTTATCAAACATAAGTCCTATGAGGAATTAGAAGGGAAAGAAATCAGAAGCAGAGCCTTAATAAGAGACACTAAAATAGTCCGAGTAAGAGATAATGAGAATTCAAGCACACCTTCTCTCTAGTCATAAGCACTTACATAGCAGGGACCAGAAAACCTGGGCAGAAAAGACCTAAAAGACTTTGATTTGGCAGTGACATCACTGCTTCAGAGGATCACTCTTGCTGACTGCCTCCATCTCTGTCAAGCTTGTAGACTGTGTTTCTTACATGCTTGTAGATTACCACGAGGTATCTTCATGGGTGTCACTATGCCAGTTTCTGCCTCGCTGTGAAGAAAAATTAGCACAGCACGCTTGCAAGGATGTCTCATGGCGGGGGGGGGGGGGGG